TCGTGAATATAGAGATTAGCTCACTTTCCTATCTGGGGGGGGGGGAGAAAAAAAGATGAGTCTGGAGGCTTCTTGAACAAAGGAAACCAAAAGCTTTTCTCTTAAGGGCAGATGCTTTTGTTCTTTCTATCTAAGGTGGGCTAAAAAAAGGAGAAGGGAAAGGCGGCTCAGAAATAATAGGGAGGGAAGCGGGAGAAGAGGAAGGAAGAAGGAAGGGCTGCTCAAGGACAACCCTTGAGACAAATGCTCCCTGATTTGGGGCTGTCCCTCCTCAAGGGCAGCTGCCACAGAAGGCAACAATAATAATAATATTAAAAATGTCCACAGCTATAAACGGGGCATATTCTACTCTGGACCCCTTGAGCAAGCCGTTCACGCCACACCCTCCCCTGCAGAACCTTTGGGAATTTTTTTTTTAATGGGATTTTTCAGGACCATTTTAAATGGTTTTTCCCTTTAAAACCTGTGAGCCCTTCCCCTCCCTGCCCTTCACTCTGTTCCTCGTCTAGGCAGATCCTGGGAAGGTTAGATGGGTATTCTGCCTTTTCTGTTTATAGGACTCTCTATTATATTTCTTGGTTTTCGGTAGGTTTAATTTGGTTACATTCGCTCTGGGGCAGCGTAAAAGACGCAAACAGTCCCAGCTCTCCTGCCCTGGATCCCCAGCCTAGGATCTGGCCCTGAGATGGATCCGATTGTTCCTCTTGTCCAGATCCTCTGCACAAGAAGCAGGTGAATCGTGGCCTCCTTAGGCATTCCTGAAGGGCAATCGCTCTATGTGTGTTTGTGTGTGTCTGCATGCAGAAGGCAAGGGCATTCAGAGTCGCCTGGACCAGCTTCCTCCCAGGCAGGGGATCCCCCATCCTCTCTCTCCCCCCCAAGCCCATGCGTTACCCCCTTTGCCCCCCACCCACTGCCACTTTGCAGCCTTACTTCCTCCTCCTCTTCCTCCTCCTTGCACCCGCCCTGAGGCCAATTCTGCCCCCCCCCGAACGCGGGGCGAGGGATTTCCTC